GTATGATAAATGAAGCAATTATATAAAGTTTTAATATCATTATATCTGTGTAAAGAGTATATGGGAGTGCTTTATAATTTTGTCTGCGCTTTCCCTTGAGTTTGAAATTTTCATAATAAAAATTAAGTCAGTCGAGTGTCACTATTATCCTCAACAAACATTTAATGAGTATCTATCTGGATTAAGATTACTAGGTCCACAAAGACATAGAAGATATGGTTCCAATCCCTTAGAAGCACTAATAATCTGCTCAGGGTGACTGGGATATACATATAAAGGTCAACAACATGTATTAGATGGCATATACTCAATGACTTATGTAGGTAGTAAGTACAATAATTCAGAAGAGATACCACAGGTTGGGCAGCGTCAAAAAGTAGGACTTCAAACTTACTACAAAGCTATAATACTCAAGACAGTGTGGTGCTGGCATAAGGATAAGCATGTATATCAGTGAAACTACTGTACCAGAAGCAATGTGTGACACGGAGCCTTTCCATTGTGATCAACAAATATGGTGAATGCTGCTGTTGAATGCCATCCAAAGGAAAGGCAGGGATCTTCAATATGCGGAGCGGTGCATCGAACCTTAATAACAGTGTGACAAGTTTCAACTTGTTCAGTGTAGTCAGTCTGGTATGAGCTACGATTGAGAGAAGGTGTGTTTTAAAGTGTGCTATAAATCATCCGCCATCATGACAATGCTGTGTCACACATCGCTTCTGGTATACAGCAATTTCTGTCAAATAAAAACATTATGGTGTGCCCTCAACCACCTTATTCACTGGGTCTGGCACCGTGCGACTTCTGGCTCTTTCCCAAAGTCAAAATGATTCAGGACATCGAGGCAGCCATGACAGCGCGAATAAAGACACTCATGAACGAGGACTTCCAGAACTGCTTCAGAAAGTTGCAATAATGATGGGATAAGTGTGTTCAAAGTGAGGGGGAGTATTTTGAGAGGAATTATGGCAATGTGTCTTTTACTTGAATAAATTTTTTTATTTAAATATTCACCATATTGTAAAGTAAGTTTTATTTAAAGTTTTATTTAAACATTCACCTCGTAAAGTAAGATTTGGACAGGTTGGCCGGCCGAGTGGCTCATTTGGTTAAGAGCACAAGCTCTGAGCAACAGGTCACTGGTTCGATTCCCACATGGTCCAGTGAGCTGCACCCGACCTGAGCTGCCGCTGAGCTGCCAACAAGCAGCCGGATGACAACTGGACTTGTGCTGAGCTAGCTGCACACTCCACTACCAAGATTGAAGGACAACAACTTGGCTGTTTCCCTTCCCCAATTTCCCACCGCTGTTCCCCTTCCTCAATTCCCCAATAAAATCTTTAAAAAAAAAGATTTGGAAAGGTAGAGAAGGTAGGGAAACTGTTTCAAGTAAGGAAAATAGCATGAATTGGGGCTCAAATACGGAACTACATATGGCCTGTTCATTACTACATTAACTAGACCAGTATGTTTGTATAGAAAAGTAATAGTAAATAATGCTGAAGATATCTGTAGATAAGAAAAGATAATAGATGTACACAGGGCAATACTGCACTAGACAGACTTGAAATGTAAAACAAACCTAGGGCCGGCCAAGTGGCTCAGTGGTTAAGAGCTCACTCAAAAGTTTGAGCTCTGAGCAATAGCGGTTCGAGTCCCGGCCTGAGCTGCGCTGCCGCTGAGCTGCCAACAGGTGGCAGGATGGCTCAGCTAAAAAAACAAAACAAAATAAACCTAAATGATATTCTAATACATACTAATTGATATTCTTAGGTAGAATCAGGAAGTCCAGAAGACATGTTTTTTTATTTTATATAGACACGAGCAAGATTGAATATAACTGAACAACTTCCAAGAAGTACTTTCAGTTTCTATTCTGAAGTAAGAAACTGAATATCAAATAAAACATTGAACAATCTTAGCTTTTGATATTAAACTTACCAGATCTTCAGGAGTTGCCCGATGAACTGTTAGATCATTCACAGTATTCTGCAAAAAAGATAAATTTTCTTTAAAGAAAAAAAAAGGTTTCATATAAAATATTAGTCTTTACTGGATTTTTAAAAATATGACTTTTAAAGTTTACTCAGTTTCTTTCAGTAATTTTCTTAAAAGAAAAATTCTCTTTAGACTAAGTTAAAAAGCTATTTGAAATCAGTATTTATTTTTTTATAAGATTTCTTTTCATTTTTTTCAAAGGCTGCCTTTCGTTAGTTTAAACTTCTGTACCTTTTTTCTTTTATATGCCAGATGGATCTGTTAAAAGACTATATTTAATAATGTATGCTACCCTCCAAGAAACTTTTGTTTGAAGAATTAAGGGGTTTGATCATCACATTTTAGGAAGATAAAATTTCTATTTTAAATTGAAATACAATTTTTATATTTTTATATAATATATAAAATAAATGTATGTATTTAAATTAAAGTAAAATATTAGTTTCATTATTCAAACTTCTCACCAAATTTTTTTCACATTTCTCAGAAAGTTTTATCATGCCTATCAACAGATATTATTCATCTGTGTGTATTTAGGTATGAGTTTGTACTGGATTTTAATGGCTGGAAACGAATTCAAAATCCTGGGACCAAAAAAACTTTTCTTTCCAGGAACCAGTATTCTCAATTTAAATGTTAATATGGATTATTTTTAGGTGTCTTATAGAAAATAACCAACTATTTTTAGGTGTCTTAAAGAAAATAAGGACTCAAAATTCACTAAGCAGGCATACATTATATTAAAACAATGAATAAAACAAGGTAGTATATAATTCAAATGAGTATTGGCTAAAGTTGTAGTTTTCAAATGGTATTCCATGGAAAGAGGCACTTCTAAAGATTCCTAAAAGATAAACTGTGATCACTATAGAGAGGCGCAATTTGTGACCACGCAAACACTGTAAGCATAGAGCCTATCATAATAAGAGATGAAGTCTGTATAATTTCATAAAATGTGAAAATAGTCACTTAAGTAAAAAGGCGCAAAATCAACATGGCAGGGCTCCCACACGGCTCCACTCCAGGAGGTACCTTTAATATTCTAGTCTGCGTAAACCGTATCCCCTTGGAGTTGTGCAGTGCATCGCCTTACCCAGACAACTTTCAGTAGCAGCCCTGCTGTTTGGCCCTTTCTGAAATTATTTCAGCCATTTCACTATACAGATTGGGTAAGGCAGAAAGTAAAACAAGTCAGAGTTTTACTTCTAAGAGAAATATAGAGAGCTGAGTCTGTGAAACAGCTTTTGATACATTATTCAAAGGCTTAACTTTTCCTCCATAGTTTATATTTAGCTCAAGGTGTTTCTATACTAAAACTGTTATTCCTCTCACATTGATTTAGAAAAGTACAAGATGCAACTATAAGATTATGAGAATTGTTTTTAGTAATCATAATAGAATTCAGGCATATGTGATATGCTTGGAATTAGTTCTCATGGGAAAAAAATATGATTTCATTAATAATACTGCCACTTAAAACTATTTCCTCTTGAAATTGCCTTTAAATCTAATTTACAAGCCATTTCAGAAAACATTTCACTGTTCTTATCAAAACAGCATTATTCAGTTTGATTTCTCCTCTTTCATTTACCATTCACTCCAAATGACTTGTAGCTACTTTCAAGTTCAGTCTACCTTCAAAACACAAAGATTTCTCCAGCACTGGAGATAATAAAAAGTAAATGAGAAATGTTCTGATGCCATTTCAAACGATGGGTTTCCATTATCTTTTCAGCAAAAGAAGCATATCAGGATAAATACTGAACTTCAGAGTAATCTCTCAGAAGAGGACAATACTTACGTTATCATGTGCACTTTTTTTCCTTTTAATTGGTTTCACTCTGATTAAACCACACCCTTAGAATCACACCCTTATAATATTTTATAGCCAATCAAGCAATTTAAACACAGAGAAATCCCTGTCCCACTTCCAAAGGCCATCAGTTTGTCCAGGAAAACTGGCAAAAATGGTTAGTCACAACCCAGAAGATTGCAAGTCTAAAAGAATCCTGAGGTCCAAACTAGTCCCTGGCTAGTTACTCCCCACAACAGAATGGACAGGCACGGAAAGTCTCATGGTCCAAACCCAAGTACCAGGCTACAAAAACTAAAAACCCCCTTGGTAACACCACCAGGCAGTATTTAGGGTAGAAGCCATGGATCATGTCCCAGGTACTTGAGACTTGTTTTGTACCTTAAGACAACCTTTGTACTGAAAGTGACCGACCTCTGGAGGTAAGCAACAATTTGAGGGGTAAGAGGGCAAAGATCACCCACTTTTTCAGCCAAAAATGCCACTCACATGATTATGGCATCATTGGTTGCTATGGGAAAATCTAAAAAAGTACCCAAAAAATTCAGATGTCAATGACACAGGTCAGTTAGAGTGGCCTTAAAGCAGTGAATTCTCAAAGTGGAGGTGGGGGGAATTTTTTAAAACACACTCCCCACCCCCTTAAAATTCCAGTTCTTCAAAGGAAGTAGAGATTATAGCCTCAACACATGTATTCTAAAAAAAAAAACAAAAAAAAACCCCAAAAGGATTCTGCTCTTCCCTCCAAGACTTAGGATGTAACATGCCCAGAAACCCATCCCACATACTGAGCCCCATCCAGAGCACTGTTCACTGTTCAGGGTGACTAGGGCCATTCCTCAGAGTAATGTTACATTGCCGATTATCCCCCATAGACTTACATCCCATTCTTGCTTCACTGACGATTTCTTCTTCTTTATTTTCAGTGCTTTCCTTCCTCCACCCCGGGGACTGTAACGGTTCACTCTGACAAACGACATCTAGGAAAAATAATCATATCAAAATTTTAAAATATAAGACGAACTAGTAATTAGGCATCACCAGAGTGGGAAAAGGGGATCCAGGAAACTTAATTTTAAAACATCAGAAGAAAACTTTAAGCATAATGAAAGGAACGGGCTACCAAAATACTTGGTTCTTTCACTTCACAATAAAAAATTGATACTGATAACTATGATAAGAGGGGTTTCAAAGCAATAACATGTATATTTGTTTAATTAAAAACTCTAGGAATGCAGAAATTATTACCTAAAGCAGAGCACTAGGAAAGTAATCATAAGCTTTGTTATCAATTATATAAATTCACAATTAACCTAGAAAATGTAAGTCACATACTAACAGTATGAATGCAAAAGGGGGAGGGCAAAAGAGAACTGGAGTTCTTTTTTAAGCACTTTTAACACTCAAATCACTACCAGATACATATGCACTTACCTTAAATAAACGTGGCTAAATTTTAGAGAATAAATGAGTTATACCATTTCTAGTATATTTTTCACATAGTACTAAATGGGGGTGATTACTGATACTAAACTAAAATTTGGAAATTGCCAACATTTGCTCAGCACTCTAAAAATAGCAATGCTAAGGATAGTGGAGTAAACATTATACAAAGTAAGAAAAAGACTCATAGTCCCTAAACACTAGGAGATAGATAGATAGATAGATAGATAGATAGATAGATAGATATCTCAATACATATACATGACTCCTATTCCAGAACCACTTTATACACCTAACTAATTACAGAACTTTCCATCTAACCCCCTTACTCCAAAATTATCCTAAAACAAAGACTCTAGTATTTTCCTTAAGTGCATTTTTTTTTAAAATCATTTAGTCTACTGTAATAAAAGTGCCTAAATCTAAGTGTTTCTCAAGAGTTTACCTCAATCCTCTTTGCCATCTGTCCTATCTCACTCTTATCAATCACATTTACACATTAAACATGGATCTAATTTCAGAGTTTACAATCCAGCAAAGGAGGTAAATCACATACAACTTAGAAAATAACACTTAAGTTTTATGATGATGCTAATGCTGATAGTGACAATGGTGACAATGGTAGTGATAATGATGGCACTAGCTAACACATACTGAGTGCTTCTACAAACCAGTGCTGTTTAAACATATTTAAACTTCCCACATATTATCTCCTTTAATCTTCACAATATCACCATGAAATACTTACTATTTATTACTCATTTTAAAGGTGAGAAATATAAGGGACAAAGAGTTAACCAACTGTGAAGGTCACACAGTAAGTGCCAGAGCCATAAATACCATTTTTAAAGATATGGAGTGAAACAGAAGTCCAAAAGAAACCACTACATTTATGATCAGTTTATATTCAACACGGGTGCCAAGAAACAATTCAATGGGAAAGCTTTTCAATAAATGGTGCTGGGACAACTGGATAGCCTTATGAAAAAGAATGAATAAGAAACAAAATAATAATCTCAAAGAGATATCTGTACTCCCATGTTCATTCACTGCAACATTATTCATAATAGCCAAGGTATAGCAACAACCTAAGTGTCCTTCAACAGATGAATGAAAAAAAAAAATTGTGATCTATATAGAGAGATACAGATATAGATATATAATGGAATATTATTCAGTCTTAAAAAAAAAAAGAAGGAAATACTGCCATTTATTTGTGACAACATGGATGGACCTTGAGGGCATTCTAAGTAAAATAAGTCAGACAAAGACAAATACATATGTTCTCACTTAAACATGGAATCTAGAATTCATAGAGAACAAATTGGTAGTTGCCATAGGTGGGGGGTGTGGGTGGGAAAAAGGTAAAGGTTGTCAAACTTCCTGTTACAAGATTAATAAATCCTGGAATGCAATGCACAGCTCAGTAACTATAAGCAATACCGTATTGCATATTTGAAACTTGCTAAGAAAGATTTTAAATGTTCTCATCACAAGAAAAAAAATTGTAACTATGTGTGGTAATGTAAACTTACTATGTTCACTATATATATATATATATATATATATATATATATATATATATATATATATAAAATCTCAAATCATTATGTTGTATACTTAAAACTAATTCATGTTATATGTCAATTACATCTCAATAAAAAAATATTTTCCTACCCAAAAAAAAGAATGAAGTAGGACACCTACCTCACAACATATATAAAAATTACTTAAAATGAAATCACAGACTTAAATGTAAGAGCTAAAAGTACAAAATACCTAGGAGAAAACATAAGCATTAATCTTCATGAACCTTGGATTAAGCAATGGTTTCTTAGATATGACAACAAAAACACAAGCAACCAAAGAAAAAAATAAACTGGAACCCATCAAAATTAAAACTTTTGTACTCCAAAGGACATCATCAAGAAAATGAGAAGACAGCCAAAAGAATGGGAGAAAATATTTGCAAATCACATATCTCATAAGGGACTTGTATCCAGAATATATAAAGAACTCTTACAACTCAATAATAAAAACACAAATAATCCGTTTTTTTAAATGGCTAAGGGATTTGAATAGACATTTCTCCAAAAAAGACACCACAAATGACCAATATGAACAGGTACATGAAAAGATGCTCAAAAGCATTGGTCATTAGGGAAACGCAAATCAAAACCATAATGAGATACCACCTCACACTCACTAGAATGTTTATATAATCAAAAAGATGGAAACAAGCATTGGTGAGAATGTGGAGAAATTGGCATCTTCATATATTGTTAGTGGGAATGTAAAATGGCGTAGCCACTTTGTAAAAACAGTTATGCAATTCCAGAAAAATTTAAACACAGAGTTACCACATGACCCAGCAATTCTAGTCCTAGGTAAATACCCAAAAGAAATGAAAACGTATGTCCACGCAAAAACTTGTACATGAATGTTTATAGCAGCATTATTCTTAACAGACAAAAAAATGGAAACATCCAAAATGTTCACCAACTGATGGATAAGTGAAATATGGTATATTCATACAACAGGATGTTATTTGGCAATAATGGAATGAAGTACTGATATATGCTATAACATGGATGAACCTTGAGAATATTATGCTAAGAGAAAGAATCCAGACACCAAAGGCCATATATTGTATGATTTACAAGAAATATGCAGAAAAGACAAATCCATAGAGACATAAAGTAGATTAGTGGTTGCTGGGTCTGAAGGGAGGAGGGAATAGAGAATGACTGATAATGGACACAGGATTTCTTTTGGGAGTGATAAAAATGTTCTGGAATTAGTGGTGATGGTGGCACAACTGC